TTGGTAAATCAGTTTTATCAACTTAAAAAAACCTTCTCACGGTTACCGTATGGAAACAACCTACGGCTTGTTGAATCCAAGACCACTACCAAGGAAACTTCTGCCGATTTCCGATGCCAAAAGTACGCTGGTCCTTTGAGAGTTGTGGCAATGGCCGGGCGGCAATGCTCAAACGCCTAGCATCACAAAGACACATAACTCCCCCCAACCCCTGCCAGTACGATCACCAGAAATCAACCAGCTTGCTCAGTCATCGCCACCAAGCTGCGGGTCAACGGAATTCCTTTTGCCAAACGAGCGGACAAAGGTGGCTCACATGATCGTGTGAGGTCCTTCGCTTCGAGGTAGGGCACAGCGGATGGAACGTTTTATGTAGCTACTGCAAACCCTAGTCCATGAAATGCGGCACCCCCCAAGCGAGTGCGTCGGTGCCTTGTCCAGCAAGATGCCACGAATGTACTTACTCCCACCTACTTGACATTGTATGCAGTACCTTTTAGGAAAAGAGCTTTGCGGCTCAATACCAACAAGAACGGGGGATTGAGTTCGTGAGACAGAATGTTTATGAAATGGAGTTGCTTCCTCAACGAAAAAACTCCTAGCCTTCTAGCCTCTGGGTATCGCTTAGGTTGTTCGGTTGTCTTGAGCCAACGCCATTTTACAATTTCTTACCTAAAGCCCCACAGGTAACTTATTCGAAAAAGTTGACCTACAGTGGGAAAAAATGACGCGTGTTTGTTATAATGCAAGACAGTCAGTGGAGCAGTGTACCGCTAAATGAAGCTTTCACTTTCAATCATTTCAAAGAGTGATGTTAACCAAAATGGCCGAAAAAAGAGGTCTTGGGGTGAGATAAGATATAAGAAATGGGACAGCGTAATAACTGAATTGATGACTATTAGGTATCTTACCGCCGAGAGCCAGGAACGAAAGGCATCAACTAGGACCGTTTTTAGCTCCTCGCCCGGAATCTGGAGGTTTGCAACCTGACTTCGAACGCTCCTGGAGGCCTTCGTCTCCATGTGAGCCTAAGCAAAAAAAGAAGGGCCCTTTATGTTTTGGAAGTGCAAAACTTAAAACCCCGAGTCGGGGAGGGGGCATTCCCCGAGACAAATGGAGGCCCGAATTGCTTTAAATTTGCTGAAAAGTGTCACAAATAACTTTGTCTTTTGCATAGTGAAGTTGTGACAACGAAAAGCAAACGCAGGTGATATCCCAACAGAATAAACGCATACCTATAACACAATCTGTGACAGAGAACTGAGGGCGTCCTAGTGTTTACTGACTGACGTCTTTCACTGCTAGAAGCGTTCGTTCGATGCATACAGCATACTTATTTTTACAATGCCTGTAAACTGATATTAAACAAAATTATAATCGAAGAAAGAAGACTCATCGGAAAATCGAGTTCAACTCGGGAATTTTCAAGCAGAAAATACCGGCCCGTCGTCAGACTAAACGGAGAGTGGGGGGTTGGGGTTATAGATTACATCGACCGGGGATGGGGGGTTATGGTGACGCGTATCATGTTGTGATAGGTGCTGCAAATGAGAAGGTTGTAGGATCCGTAAAGCCCTACTTGGCCGAACATGTTTGGCCGCCATATAATTCACTGGCGAAGAAGCAACAAAAGACATCCTTCCATTTTTTGACACCAGGATGCAAAGATTGAGTGAAAACAATCTCGAAACCAGCGTCCACAGGAAGGACTCTAATACCAAAATAATGCTCAATTATAGGAGTAACCATTTTGCGGCCCACAGAAGAAGCTGTGTTCGAACACTTTTTCACCGCGCATTTTGGTACTGTAGCAGCGATTATCTACTTAAAAAGAGATCTTGCATACTTATAACAATTATTCCGATCGAACGGATATCTGATGAGATTCGTGAAAAAACTATTTCCGACGTCAGAGGCAATCAGAAGATCAGAGCTCAAACGGAGAAGTAGTACAGGGGAAATTATGTTCCTTACTCTACATGCAAGAACCCTCTGAAACGATCGCCCTACAATTAAACCGTCTCGGCGTCCTCCTTGAAGGCGGGTCTACCTGGTGTTAAAGATACCGAAACAGCACCAAACTTATGTCGTTTACCGCATTCCATACGTTAACTGCCCTACTGTCTACATAGGCCATACAGATCGGAAACTCGGAACCCGCATAAGTGAGCAGAAACTG